TTGGGAGGCAACTCCCACAGGACCAACGCAACGACATCCTCAAAGTCCTGCGGTCATATGCAATCATCTTTGCGTGGGGGGGCGGACGATATGCTTGGCATCAGCCGGAAGGTGATCACTCACCGGCTCTTAGTCGATCCCGCTTCCACGCCGGTCAAGTAGAAGCGGCGCTACCTTTCGGCCGACAGATGGGACTTCATCAAGGGGGGGGGGGGGGGTCACCATGCTCCTCTCAATCAACCACATCAAGGAGGTGAAGTACCCAACCTGGCTAGCCAACGTCATCCTCGTCCAGAAGCTGCCGACGTTCAGAATGTGCGTTGTTTACACTGTCCTGAACAAGGCGTGCCCCATGGACCCGTTCCCTCTCCCTAACATAGATCAGTTGGTGGACGAGACGACGGGATGCGAGTTGATGTCGTTCTTGGACGCCTTCAGAGGATACAACCAGATCTTCATGCATGAAGACGACGCCGAGAAGACAACCTTCATGACCCCGGAGGGAATTTTATGCTACCTCCTCATGGCCTTTGAGCTCAAAAATTCAGGCGCCACATACACTAGGATAGTAGCCAAAATCTTCAGAGCAGTCCTTGGCCGGACGATGGAGGTATACGTCGACGACATGATCGTCAATAGCAAGCAATCTACGACTCATGCTGATGACCTCCAAGAAATTTTTGAAATCATGTAGAAGTTCCAGCTCCGCCTGAACCCCAAGAAGTGCACCTTCAACGTCTAGGGAGGCAAGTTCCTAGGCTACATGGTCAGTCGAAGGGGCATTGAAATAAATCCGGAGAAGATCCAGGCCATTGGCTACATGAACGGCCACCACCCCAAGGCCCAACAAGCTCCCACCGGTTCAGAAGATGGGCCAGGCCCACTTCCAGCGCTATCAGCCCACTTCCAACGTACCAGCAACCAGCATCCTTAACGGCCAAGGCATTCAACAGCCACGCCAAGGAGAGATGAGCCTCCACGTTCAGAGGCCGCATCAGCCCTGGTAGACAATAATCACTTCAATGGCCACCAAAGCAAAGTAAAGAAGAACCCAACAGCCATCAGCCTCGTATTAAACCCTGATGATAACTCCTTGAAAGCGACCCCCGTCCAAGGGTTCTCCCACAAGATTACCTTGGTCAGGAATCACCAAGGGTTTGGATTCAGGGGAATACGGGGATCCCGCTTCAGCCTAGGATTACACCTTACTCCTTCACCCCTCGCCCACTCTTCGGCCTGAAGCAGTGAGGGACTGGGGGACTACACCGGCCTCTAAACACACACAAGGACAAAATCAAAAAATCCAAAAACACATAAGTCCACAAACTACAACATTGTATCAACCACGCGTCATCCCTTGACGCGTGGTACTCAACGGCCTTGAGATCATGCACTCCACTCTCGGCCAAGATAAGAAAACAGGAACACAACGTCCTCGGATCCAAACACCATCATCGTCCATGGGACCAAAATACGCACAACTTCCTCTGGATCAGTGTCGTTATCGTCCTCAAAAACATGGATACCAAACTAGGAGTATCATCGCTTCAGCCTGAAGTACAAAAGCAGTTGTGGGGCCTCCTCGACCAAAACACAAAAGGCAACCGCCAACGACCAGAAAGAACATCATCCTCATCGGCTATTCAAATCAAGAACACATATCAGCCACTGAGCCAGGACACTCATCATCCTCAAACAAACAAACGTGCACCATCAGAGGAACATCAGCCCTCTTCGTCCACAGTGAAGCGCATACAACGGCCAAACACGAAGAACCAAAACAGGAGACGGCCACATCGGCCAGAAAACATCGAGACTATGGAATCTACTCTCCCTCACTTCGTCTGCATCTCAGCTCAGAGAGTGGGGGACTCTTGATGGAGTATATGGGTCTGGACCCCAGGACCCACATACTCAGAAGAATAAGAGGCACAACTGTCACCCACTGGGGCCTCCGTCGGCCAGATGGCCCCCCATCGGCCAGGAAGATATCGACTTAGATTATTATCCAGAAGACAGGAGAACCGGGTGTCGCCGTCGGCCATCGCTCCATCGACCAGACCCTCATGGGCCACAAAGAGCTCACAGAACCGGATTCCATAGTCATTTCTACATTCCTTGTACTCGGCCCAGTAGTGGCCCAATTGTAAATGGGCCTCCCAAGCCCAAGACTTGGGAGCCCAGCCTTAAGTTCCTCTATAAATACCCCCCTTGGGAGTAGTTGTAGGGGGTTCACAAATCATTAATAGCAAGAATTTATTGCATTTCTATCTCTAGTTTTCACTTCTCTCTAGAATATATACTTTATCAATAGCGTGAGGTGGGAGCCTTTGCGGCACTGGGGTAATGATGATGAGGAGGAGGAGGAGGAGGATGACGACTAAATATTTTGGGACGGGGGTGAACTAAATGTTAAGTTCTATGTGTACATGAAAACAATAGAGACGGAACACATGCCAAACAAGTTATGGGAAAGCGTCAAGTTGGGCATGAATTATATGTGGACTCTTGAAGTACTACCTCCATAACCCTAGAATCTTCTCACTTTGACTCTTTTAGGTCAAATTTTATAAATTTTAACCATTAAATATTCAAAACTCACATTATGTGATGATTAAAAATTTATTTCATATACCTCATTGTGAAACATATTATTTGAATATTAATTTATTATGAATTTTATGAAAAGTGAAAATGGGATGATCTTTGTGCTAAGGTGTAACACCGACCCCGAGCATATTTACTTTTAGTAAATTATGTAACAAACCTTGAAAGATGATTTATGAATTTGCGTAATTGTAAATTTTTATTATTTCTTTTACGTGAATAGTAAATTGCATGTGGAGCCCACAGCGGGAACGGGGACCGCCCGATAAATCCCGAACCACATATTATATTCATCTTGGTCTAGATAATATATATATGGTGGTGGATATTTTGTTTGGGCCATAATAAAGGCATGGAGTTGACCGGTTGGTCAAACGGGGCCCAATTACCGGTATTGGTGATTTAGCGGATAACAGCCCGAAATGAGTTTCGGGGACTCCTAAATTAATGTTGGGGAATGTACATCGTTTCTAAAGGCCCAAACATTGTTGGGAACGCGTGATATATTTTATCCGGCCCGATAAAATAAAGTATGACTAAAGTAGTCCGGAAAGTACAACTTTCGGGGCCGATTGGACACACCGGGACATAACGGGATGACCTCCCACCAAAGTGGGGACCACCCCACGTTTTTATTTGCTCCAATTGACTGAATGGGAGCTAGAAGAGACAAGGAAGGGGGCTGGGTTCGGACTATGGGTAGAGGGGATGGATGGAGGCCAAATCCCATGTCCTACACAATAACTCCCCATTTGATTGAGGAGAGTTGTCTCCTATCATTTCTCACCCTCAATCATACGACCAAGGCAAGGAAAGGAGCTCAGGAGAAGACCCTCACAAAGCTCATAGCTTGAAGGAAGCAAGAAGCAAAGGAAATCCAACCCAAAAAGGCTAGGAATTAAGGTGAGAACTCAAATAGTTCTTGTAACTAGTTTTTGTGTATGATTTTTTTGAGAAATCATATGGTGGATTAAACATGATGTTCTACACGTTTAAAAGTGTAGAATATTGATATAAAGTGGTGATATTTAACTGAGAAGAGTTGGTGAATCGATAGGAGTCGAAATCGCCGGAAACCGCCACTTTAAGGGAGCTGCCCGTTTTCTGCAGAACACGAAAGCCGCCCGGCTTTCGTGAAAGCCGCCCGGCTTTTGCCCAGGCAGTCCAGTTTTGCCTTTCAATCGGCCTAGAACGGGGATTGATCGAGGGGCGTAACAAAGGCAACTATTGTAGCACATCACGAGGTGAGGATGGCTGACTATATTGCTTATAATTAGTGAGTTAATTTCATAAGAATGCCTAAAGTAATTAGATGGGATTTTCATGGATTATTAATGATTAATAATGCCTAAATGAAAATAATATGGATATGAGTAAGTGAAGCATGATATACAAATTTAGAATAATTGTGTATGATTATGTGAAATGAATGGAACGGTTGTTAATGGAATTACTATGATGACATTGTGATAAAATATACTTTACTTCATGTATGGAATTCATGAATGGATTAAAGTGATATTTTGATATTGAGATTAAACTATACTTGGGTTGAGAAATCAATGGAAATGAAATGCAAATTGAGAAATAGGAACTTGGCATGTTCTAAGGTTATCCAATTAGTATCAAAATACTAGTCGGGGAATTAATATAAATAAATGATGAAACAAATCCTAAGAGGTAGGATTGTGAATAGATATGCCTTAAGTAGTCTCAAGAGATACTTAAGGATGAATGGTATGAACACTAAGGTGTGATAGGGGTAGGCTTAAAGGCCACCTACGGGAATTGATTCTAGGCATAGGACTTGCTTGAGAATTTGATTATGAGAATAATTAGAGTTGGACTCTAGGATGACATGGAGATGTAGTTGGGCCGAGCCCATGCCATGTAATACGATTAGCATGGAAACGTAGTTGGGCCGAGCCCTTGCCATGTGTATGTGACCTCCGTGGAAACGTAGTTGGGCCGAGCCCTTGCCACGAAGTTATGGTTGGTATGGAAACGTAGTTGGGCCGAGCCCTTGCCATACAAATTTTGATATGATATATTGAGCTAGAGGATTGTATAGAGATGTAGTTGGGCCGAGCCCATGCTATACAATTGGGGCTCGATGGGACCCCACGGGGTTATCGTGACTCGCGGTCACGGGGGAATGGAAAAGATGAATTCTAAATGAGTATGGGCCTACGGGCCGACTACTTGACTTTATGTAAAGTAAGTACAGTTAAAAGAAAGAGGGGTAACCGAGGGTTATGGCCTATAATATAATAGTACCCTAAGTTGAGGGTCTTGGAAGTTAAAACGTTGATTATACTTAGTATAGTTGCTATTGTACTTGTCAAATATTTCCAAGTACTGACCTCCCCTTCACGGGGGAGGCCACCTCACAGTTTCAGGTAGAACTTGAAGGTCGCTGCCATTGCCCGTTGCTTCGGGAGGAATCAAGGGAAGAAGACGTGGTTCGTGCTTCTCCCGTTCTGTTTTAAAAATAATTACATTAATGCTCATGGATAATATTTTCTGAATAATTACTTTGGGGGCTTGCATGCCTAGTTATGCCAAGTGTGGCTTGAACAATTGTATTAATGCTTCCGCTGTTTTAAATGCACGTTTTACATTATGTTTGTTTATGGATGTACTATGTGTGAATGATATTCATGACGCCTTGTATAGTATGGATGAGTTGGACTGCGGTTGACTATTCGTACTGTACGGCGGGTTGTTGACGTGTCCGGCTAGGTCCGGGGCGTGACATAAGGAGGTAGTAATCGATAAACATTTGATAATTGGTTTTATGATCATGGGTGCTGGTTTTGAACTGAAATCAGACATATAATTTGCTTCTATTAGGTCAAATTGTTCAACGCATTAACTATTTATTTATTTCTCCTTCCAAATCTTTTTCCCTTCCTCAACAAGTATATTGGTAGAATTTCCTTCTTCAAAAGATATAACAAATTAAAGACTAACTAAAATGACTCAGATTACAAACACGGAAGATTGCTTTAAAAAGACAGTAAGGAGCCCCTCAAAATATTTTTTGGGGTTCAAAATATTTTTTGGAAGAGAGAAAATTATTTTTCATATATATATACACACTACAAATATTCTTGTTGGGTCCGCCCCTGATTCCTTTGCCTGTTTTCCCTTCTATGTTTTATTGCTGCTATTTTTCTATTGTTGTTAGTGGTTAGGAGGCTAATGGCTAACCAAACTAAAATTAAATCGCAATGCAAGGGTTTTATATTCTCAAATGCATTTCTTGAGATAAATATCTCTAATTTTATTATTGAACACATATGCATGTAAAGTTAGCTGACTTTAATAATCACAAATACATGAAAGAAACATAACACACTATATTATAAGAGCCCGTTTGGCAGCACGAAAATCGGCTGTTTTGGCTGATTCTGCTGAAATTTATGAAGTTCTGGCTGAAGTTGCTGCATTGGCTGATTATGCTGATACAAGAAAAAAAATATTTTTAAAATATATTTTATTAATAGAATAAAGAAAAAATTATATGTAAAAATAGCTAAAATGGTCATCTACAGTAACTTCAGCCAATACAGCCAGAAAAGTAACTCCAACCTTACTTTTTTGGCTTATTACACAATTCAGCAAGTGAAAGCAAAATTTACGTGTTTGGTAAAAAAGTTGGTTGATAAGCCTGATAAGCCGAAAATAAGGGTTGCCAAACGGCCTCTTAATCTTATTGATATACACATGATTAGATGTTTGTAATATTTTATTTAAATGGTTAGGTAAGTCTTCCCTAAACTCCCATCCAAATCTTTGTTTTTAGTTTACTTTCCCGTATAATTTATCGTCTCCTAGTCACCCAAGATATATGTGTAGTTAAATACTTTTGAAACAGAATAAATAGTACATCGTACCTAATTATTCATTCACGAGTTGATCTAAACCATTCAACTTACAACAAGACATCTTCAAAATCTGCAGAGCAGATTTTCTAAAAAAAAGTGTTAGTGTCAAAACCATTCAATTAATTACATTATCTTGGACATGTAGCCAAGATAATGTAGATGGCAGATTGATATTTTAAGTTATATTCTGTCTAATATGACTAATATATTCAATTACATTATCTTGGACCTTTAGCCATTTGGATTTTATCTGACTAATAGATATGGGTGTTCATCATGATGTAAGTGATACTATATATATACTGGAGGATTTATTCATGATATTAAAATAGGGGTGGACTGGGATGGGTCGGCCCGATCGGGACCCAGCCCAGTCCGACACTGTACAGGCCCTACCCGGCCCGACGAACTGGGAGTGGGACCCGACCTGGGGGGTTTAACAGGCGCGCTACGGGTTCTGATTTTAGTGGACCGCCCCAGCCCGGCCGGGCTCGGTCCAGGCCCAATTATTTTTTTATTTTTTTGGCATTGGGTTGCCTGCTAGGTGGGTGGGTTTGGGTGGTTTGGGGGGGGGGGGGGTTGGGGTGGCGGGTGCGGGTTAGAATTAATTCGAAAATACCCCCAAAAAAATATTTTTAGCCCAGCCCGGTCCCGGTACTAACCTGGGCCGGTACCGGGCTTGAATATTTTGGACCCGGATCCCATCCAAGCTCGGCTCGATCCCGGTCCATGCCTAGGTTTGAGGGTATTTAATGACCAATTTCAATGTTAAATAGCTATTTTCTAGTAGTGGGTCTATTATATGGGCCACTTGACACTGATATATATGAAACTTTCGGAAGTATGCAAAACAGGTTCTCGAGAACAATATTCTATTAAACTAAATAGATCTCTATTTGGTTTAAAACAATCAGGGTGTATGTGATCCAGTCGCTTGAGCGAATACTTATTAAAAGAAGGGTATAAAAATGATTATATATGACCACACATTTCTATTAACAGGTCTAGTCAGGAGTTCATAATCATTGTAGTAAGTGTGGATGACCAAAATATAATTGAAACTCCTGAACAACTACAAAATGAAATTGAATGCTTGAAAAGAAAATTTGAAATGAAGGATCTTGGAGACACCAAATACTACATTGGATTACAAATTGACCACTTAAATAATGGTATCCTTGTGCATCAAACAACCTATATAGAAAAGGTGCTAAAAATATTTTTAATGGATAGAGCACATCCTTTGAGCACCCCAATGAGTGTAAGACAACTTGGAGTTGATAAGGACCCCTTTAGACCGTGTGGAGATAATGAGGATATTCTTGATCCAGAAGTACCATATCTAATGTTCTTGCAAGTAACATTAGACCCGATATATCCTTTGATGTAAATTTATTGGTAAGATATAGTTCTTCTCCAACGCGAAGATATTGGAATGGGGTCAAACAAATACTACGTTATCTTCGGGGTATGAAAGACATGTGTGTATTATTCTCTAATGTGTCCACAACTGACTTAGTTGGTTGTGCAGATGTTGAATATTTGTCTGATCCCCACAAAGGAAGATCACAAACTTGATATGTGTTCACACGTGGGGGAGACAGCAGATTCATGGCGTTCAATGAAACAAACCATTGCGGCAACATCATCTAATCACGTGGAGCTCTTAGCCATTCATGAAATCATCGATGAATGTGTGAAGTTAAGAAGTGTAATTCAATATGTTAGATGGTCATGTGGAGTATAGTCTGATAAGGAGCCTCTGATCATCTTGTTTAAAGATAATGCAGTTTGTATCCAACAACTCAGGGAAGGATTTATCAAGGGAAAAAAGACGCATATTTCACCGAGCTTTTAGTATACACATGACATCGAGAAAGAGGATGAGATTATTGTTCAATAAATTCATTCAACTGACAATGTTGCAAACTTGCAGAACTATTTACCGAAGCTAGCTCTCCTGACGACAACCTTCAAGAAGTTAGTGCACCGGATTGGATTACATCGGCACAAGTATCTCGAGTGATGTATTCATCTAGGAGAGTAAATGTGTTGTACTCCTTTTCCCTTGCCAAGGTTTTTCCCATTTTCATTTCATAGGATTTTTACTCGACAAGATTTTTAATAAGGCAACACTCTAGCGTATTTAAAGAATTATGTACTCTTTTTCCTTCATTATATTTTTTCCCTCCAGATTTTAACAAGGTTTTTACGAGACATATTATTTAGTAGAGTATATTTAAAGGGAAGTGTTATGTACTTTAGACATATACACTACTCTCTTCTAGGGGATGCGTCTATCTATATATGTATCCCCCTACTCCCCGTTTGTAAATACTCTCGATTAGTCATTATATGAATACTAATTTAAGAGTTTATGATCGGTCATTCAGTCTTGCATAGGGTTGTAAACGAATCAAATAATTTGTGCTCGATTCGCGATTCGAATTCGTATAAGACAATTTGAATTCGGAAAATTCAAATACAATTATACAAATACTAACAAGAATATTAAATTTGATTCGAGTTGTTATCAAATAAAAATAAGAATATCAGTGTATTCGATTCGAATATTAATCAAATATATTCGATTAATAATATGGTAATATTAATGTCAATATTAATAATAATAGTAATAACACTATAATAACTTTTAAAAGATAGCAATACCCTCAAAGTGTATGTATATCTCATATATACACTTTACCATACAGATTTCAAGCCCATTTGTAATAAATCAGAATATAAATACGAATACAAATCAATTTTTTGGTTCAAATGTCTATCAAATACAATACAAATAATTATGTATTCGATTTGAAGAAGAAAATTAGAGTTGTTTGACTTTGATATATACAATTATCAACTTATTTCACACATTATAAGTATAACTTCTAATATGTGTGTGTTAGTGTCTATTTCAAAAAGTTTGAAATAGACTTATATTTATTAATCATAAAATTAATTCACTTTAGTATATTGTGCACCATCTAAAAATGCATTGATCCATTAAATTTAAATTCCATAAACACATATGAAGTCATAGCATGCATTTACAACATAAAAAATGTATGATATTTTTTATAAGAAAAGTTATTTTAGAGTGATATTTGAATACTTCCTCCGGTTCTTATTTAAGTTCTTAGTTTGACTTCACACATATTAAGAAAATGAATTTGACTTTACTGTAGAGTGCACTGTTTGGCACTGTTTGGACACTGTTTGGCACTGTTTTGCACTGTTTTGTTTCCTAAAATGGAAGTGTGAACTTAAATAAGGGACATACCAAAAAGGAAAGTGAGAACTTTAATAAGAACCGGAGGGAGTAATATTTAACCTATGCTCAAATCGTTCGATATTTGTATATAATTCGTTAACTATTCGTATTATTAAACAAATACAAATTCAAATCAAAATTAATGTTCGTTTCATATTTGAATTCGAATTCGTATTCGAAAAAATTAAACAAATACAAATACAAAATCTCATTATTCGACTCGATTCGATTCCAACCCTAGACTCACTCCTGCATCTACGCATGTGAAGTTTAATTTGTCCCAACCGAAAATGACAACAAAATAAAGTTTAATAAAACCCACAACTGCACATCACATCCGAACAAATTTACATTATCTACCAAGTATTTTGTACAACAATAATGAATGAAGTTACATGGAATTCTCTACATAAAAAGAGGTCTGAAATTCATGGTTCAACAAAAGGAAAACAAATAAAAATGGTGAGGGGGTTTAACGAAATAACTTATCTACACTACTATTGGCTTTTTTGTAAACGCAACACTGTCCAAGCCATTGTTGTTAGTCCTGCTATACTGATGATGACCATGGCGGTTCTTGATCCATGCTGAAACTAAGCCGGGCTCTCGGATAGAAGCCCATCTCCCAGAGCTGCTGGAAGGTTCAGAACAATCTCTGCAAATGCTGGGAGAGGGGTACCCCGTTGACCAAGTCAATAACAAAAGAATAAAGAAAGCTGAAATAATGTAAGTGATACCTTCCGGGAGACTCATGGTTCGTAGGGCGTCCTCTGCATAGGAGAGACGCTCTGGAGCTGACATGTGTCCTTTCCTGGTTGAAGATTTGTTTGGCCATGCCAAAACACTAATCCCACTTGGAAGCGTGGACAAAAGATCAGAGTACCTCAGGCACACGGTTATCCTGCTGCACCGTGGACAGGAACCACATTTTATACAATTTAGGCTGTGATCGGAACTTGAAAAATAATAGTGGGACCGAAAAATGACAACTCGAAGAAAGCTGAAACAGACAAAAATGACCAAATCATACAGTTTAAGGTTTACGCATGAAAAAGTGACTAAAATCCACCTAATCATGCCAAAAGTCCAAAACCTACCGGAAGATAACACGAAGAAACCGAAAATAACTGAAACTGACTAGAGGTACTCGATGACACTAGAACGGGACATTATTATCAACCAGTTTCGTAATCCCATTTGTCTAATCTTCAAATGTTTTCTTTGAGGATGTTTCAGACTTTAAGTATATTACTTAATGTCCTGTTTATTAGAGTACAATTTCATTTTTTGGAGTCTTAATGATTAACGCAAGTCATTTAGGTGAATAATTGAAGGGAAACCTTGGCGCACGGGTTACGATGTAGGTGTAGCCGTGTGACCGAGAGGTCACGGGTTCAAGTGTTGGGAGCAATCCCTTGTCAAACTGACCAAATCATTCAGTATTACATTTCTCAATACCGAACTGACCAAACCAAAAACAAACACCCAATTTTTATGTTTGTGATGGAAAATATAAAGGCAAAATCAATTTAATTATTTCTTGAATTTACTTTTTAGATTTCTTATATCATTACTTAATAAAAAAAGAAATTAACCAAAGTTTCTTTCTCCCAAATATTTACTTCACAAAGTTTCCCTCTATTCCTTTCCCTAGCATTTTCCAGGTTCCAAACAGGCCCTAGAGAGTCAATTGTCAATGCGTAATGAGTAAAACACCGAAGTAGAAATTTCAACGTCGCCCATCTTAAACACCCATCCTATCTTTCTTACTGTGCACTACCCTGACCCTGTTACTATATCTTGAACCGGGCGTTTATCAAAAGAGACAATATATCGAGAAAAAGTAATGACCAAAGCAGATGATGTCGGATACAAAGAAAGTACTTACCAATCAAAATCGTTCAGCATGAATTCAATCATATGATAAGGAAGACTATGATACAATTGTACAATCTGATTTCCATACAACTCTTTAATAAGCCGCACCTGAAAAAAAGTACCAGAACTGAAACCAAATAACAAAACTCATAATTGAGATATACAATGCAGTTCACAAAAATGAAGATAATATTATTTTCCCTTTTCACTAGAACGCGACATTATTATCAACCAATTTCGTAATCCCATTTGTCTAATCTTCAAATGTTTTATTTGACGATGCTTCAGACTTTAAGTATATGTCTTAATGTCCACTATATTAGAGTACAATTTCGTTTTTTGGAGTTTTAATGATTAACTCAAGTCATTTAGGTGAATAATTGAAAGGAAACCTTGGCGCACAGGTTCGATGTAGGTGTAGCCGTGTGACCGAGAGGTCACGAGTTCAAGTGTTGGGAGCAATCCCTTGTCAAAATGACAAGAGAAGTCTTGCTTCTTCATATACCCTTGTGGTGGGACCCTTCCCCGGACTCTGCCTTGCAGGGACACTAATGTGCACCGGACTACCCTTTATTTAGGTGAATAATTGGAACTGTCAATCTAAGACTAAAAAGAATCAAAATTTTGAATCGTTTTTTCAATTATTTTAGGTTTGAGCTTTCTATGTAAATTCCTTCACAAAACGTACTTTTGTTAAGAACCAGAAGTTTACTATACAACTATACAAATCATGAATTGGGATGTTTTTACTTGAAATTTGCTGGTCTGGTCTGAATTGGTCTGGTAAATGTCTGGTCTTTGTGTACTTTATAACTATGGAAGTCTGGTATGGTCTGTTTAAGTCTGGTCTGGGGCTGAAAACAATCCAAGTAAAACATCCTTATTTCAACCATTCACTTCTTCAACTGATCATTTCATCTTTGAGGCACTCAAGATCAACAAATCTCCATCTATCGAGTGACATTGGGGTCCCTACATCTAGTGCCAAAAGTCAGGTCTTGTTTGGTATCCCTGTCAGTTTTTTGTTATGATTTCAGAAATTATAGGGTATATGTTTAATAATAACGAACTAAAGTAAACATATATAGTAATCACGTTAATTTTTAAAACTGCTAACAAAAATCTATATGCACTTTTTTGGTTCCAAGAATTATGTTTTTTTGTTATTAAATCAGAAAAACAGGCGATAGAAAGGAATGCCAAACAAAGCCTTTGATTAAAAATCAAGCTATACAGAACCAATGAAGAAAGCATATATATACCTGTTCTCGTCTATCTACATAGGCCTGCAACAGATCTCCCACATGGTCTATGAATTTCTGAAATATGAAAGCAATCATACATGTTAATTATGACTAAGTGAGCATTCCTCCGCAGCAGACATTGTGGTTTTATTTTAAGCAATAATAATTGAGTACCATTGCATTAGAAGAGAGAAGCTCATTTTCAGCTTCACGTATAGGAAGGAAAAAAGGGACAGTATGTTCAAGAACTGTCATCTTCTCCAGAAATGATTTACTCTCAAGCACGCAGTGGTAAAGCTCACAAGTTTCTCCTGAAAAATAAAAAAATGGTGAATTTATATAAATATTTATCACACAGATCCACCATGTAGATCTAAGGGCAGACACCACACATGACACCAGCAACAAAGTAGCAATGTGAATTAATATCTTGAGTGTTATAACATTTTATACTACCTCTGCCCCGGCATAAGGTTATCATTCTAAAATGACACATTTTTAACACAGTAATGAAATGAGGTAATTTGAGTATATTTTGAGAAGTGGTTTGGGTGGATACATAATATAATGGGTCATTGATTATAATTGTGATGTTATAGGTGTATTTTTTTAATATTTGATGATTAAGTTGCAATTAAGATTGCTAAATATTTCCTAAAATAGAAATGGAAACCTTTAGATGGGTCGTCCAAAAGAAGCAAGTGAGAACTTTTAAGTGGGATGGAGGGAGTATAATATTTCTCCCATACTTAAAAACCTAAAATATGGGTCAAGAATAATAACTTATGAAATGTTGAAATACCAGCAAAAGATGTCTCATACTGTATACCGATTCTTGCTCCTTCTAAACAACAGATCACCTGAAAACAATGAAAGCTCATCAGCAACCCAGAACTTACAAGATGAAAATTTTGAGAAACATTTTATGTTCACCAGTGATGATTTTTAGCAGATGAGAAATTTTTCAATGGAATACAGGAGGAAAATCCATAATCACTTACAAAAAACTAAGCCCGTAGTTTACACAAACAATGATTAGGGTTCTATGTAGTTGAGTATTTCAAGTATAGAACAATCCCTCCTTTGCACCATAAGTTGTGCAAATTAAATTCATCCCATAAGCACTCCAAGGACAAGGGTCCCATCAAAAGTGGGGCACACCTATAAAAACGTTTCTAAGCCCAAGGAATGTTTCCTAATCACTATCCTAATCCTACAGATCATTGACAGAGATACTAGAGAATAACTTTTTAGTTTATATGCATTGAGACATCACCAACCCAACTTTCTGCACATCATACCTTATTACCAGCTTTATATGTAACTTTTTCTTGACATGGAATCGGAGACTGGGCTTTTTCCCCTGAAAGTTGCATGGCCTTAATGTCTGCCTCAATGTGAACCTGACATAAATGGCATATTTTAGGATAAATTCTTGCTGCATACAGAATTTGCAAAAGAAAAATTGACAAGTATTTTTCTCATTTAAAAGACAAAACGAGTAAATCTTTTGGGAATAAGCCTTGGATGTTGTTGTAAATGACAAAACCAGTAGCAAAGGTAAAACAGCTAGAAAAAGTTGAAAAGAAAAAACGAGTGGTGAAGGTAAAACAGAATTGGACGCAACTGGCTAAAAAAGGTTTAATCAGTTGTGGTCCACAGGTTTAAAGTATTTTCATCTATTTAAAATTTTCATTTTGGAGAAAAAAGAATGAGCTAAATAAAAATAGTAGAAAATGGATGATAGTGAACAGACTACATTACAAAACAAAGAAACAAGAAAGGTTCCCAGCATATTCAAAAACACAATAAATGGAGCTGCATTTCCCGAACAAGGCATGTTTCATTGGCTAGTGTTATTAATTTATTTAATTTACTGTTTGCGATTTTGCATGTCAAGTATTTCACTTGAAATTTTAATTACAAAATTTGGATAAAACATGAGCAAGATTGATCATTGATTCATAACAAGCAGTCAAGCACAACTCAAGCTTTAAGCCTTTTAGTGTTTCGTTTTTATAAATGTGCTCAGGTAGCTTGAGATAAGCATGAGAACATACAGCTTTGCCGGACATCAATATACCTCAAATTAATGTCAAATAGGTCCCACTGTGTGCATATCTATCTAAAAAAATTAACAATACTATCAGTCGGTTGAACTACGAATTCAACTATTAGATGATTGAACAAATTTCATCACAGGAATGTCAAACAACAAACAAAAAGAATGAGATAAAAAGTATTCATACTTTTAACACCTTTTACAACAAAGGAACAAGACATTCTGCAAAAAAAACGAAAAGGAAACAGGAAAAGTGGAAAAGATACCTGTTCCCTTAATGTAGCTAATAAACCATCATTCCATTGCTCACCATCCAAGCTAATTTCTGAAAAGGGAAACAACTCCATAAATAAATCAAGTAGTGTACCATCAACATAGTAACAAACGTGATAAAAATGATGCACGAAAGACATAAAAAAGGGGGTCCAATAATTAACATCGCAAACATGAAACATCATGTGTTCCTAAATAAAATATGTAACTCATAACTGTACCTCCTTGACATTATTATGCACATTGACACCTGATACATAGTAAAATAATAACCACGCCAACAAATGAAAGAGCAGATGGGTTGATACACTCGACTGAAATCAAAACTTAGCACAAAAAGAGAAAACATATATTTAGTTACGAGCTACCTTGAGTTTGAGAAGCACGAGCAGCTTCAAATTCTCTATGCAAGCGCTCAAAAATTGTCTTGTCAGAGTCCCTAACAAAGTCAAACAAATGGCGTGTGCATGCAGATGAATATAAATATAAGAGGCTATTTTTAGCCAAAGTGATGATTGTAATCAAATGGGAATTTCAATTAATATTCGAATTACTCTTCACCCAGCTCTTGGCAATAATTAAAAAAGTTAACTGTTTTTACCACAGTGTAATATTCCCTCCGTCCCTTATAACTTTGCCAACTTTCCTTTTTTGGTTGTCCCAAAAACATTGTCATTTTCCCTTTTAGTCAATCAATATGTGGTTCCTATTATTTCTCTCTCCTCTGCACAAATCTCCACCACACAGTTTTTACTTTATTATTCTACGTGCTGGTCAAACTTGGCAATCCTTTTAGGGACGGAGGGAGTATTTGTTAGAAATTAGGGGAAATTGTCAAATATGATCTCGTACTATATTAAAAACTTCAACTAACCCCTCATACTCTATTATCATCCGATGAAACCCACAAACTTATTAAAAACATTCAAATACTCATGTTATAAGGTAGAAAACCGGTTGCCGGTAAAACAACTTCCTGAATACTGATGTGGCTCTCATGATCCAAATCTCAAAATATCTTTATTAGCGAAGCTTCAAGTTTTTTACCATTTACAACTTAAATTTTGAGTTTCTTCAGTTACAATTTATGCATCAAACTTAATTTCAGTGGTGTTTTCACATGTTTGAAGGTTACCCGCCATTAATGGTTAATGAAGCTTTAATGGCATTATCTTGGCCGCACTATGTTGATAATTGTTTTTATTCGAGAGGAATAGAAAAAGACCCCATCTCGCCCCCCTTCTAAACTGGACCTTTGTATAAATGCACTTAATGGGTTTCAAATTTGTATTCCATAGGCACTTCATTCTCTCCTACTCTTTCTCCTTCAAGATGTTTTGATGTCTGAGTATTCTATTAAACTTTTTTTCCTATGTTTTCATTGATGCTCATGCTCTTAACACATATAGTAGATTGTCATTGGTTTCCTCCACGACGTGTTTACTAAGACTGAAAATCTCATTCTATATCTCAGTTTCGTTTAAGATAGTTCAGCTTGTTGGTGGTGGTGTGGGGCTCCCCAGGATGCAGACCAGACGTGTGGGAAGGGAACAAAGTACAGTATATCATCGAGGTAGATTAGTATTTGCCACATCATTAGCCACAAGTATTTTACCTGAAAACTTGTTTCGTACAGGATATAACGCCTGTATAGGTGCTTTTAATGAGATTGGTTTGACTGAGTGATTATTGAGTACAAGGGCTAATTGACATTTTGGAATGGTTGTGTATTTGATCATTTTCCCTAGAAATTATAGAGAGAGATTCTGCATTCACAAGTAATTTCAAAGCCTTCACAGTATGAGGGAAAAAGAATCCATGAAGATAAATTCCGATATAGTTCGGCATTGATAAAAACCTTATCTTCATTAGCGTGTATTTTAAGCAATTGCCTAAAAGGGTTTGAACACATAAGAGATGGGGAATGAGTAGTTTCAAAATAATATCAATTCTAGATTTCTAGCGAAAGAAATTGTGGAATTTTGAGAATACTTTACCTAGAGAGTCGCTCTGCCAGGTCTCCATGCCTTTTAAGAACATGTGAAACTGCGAACAAAAGCATTACTTTAACTTTGTAAATATCAACGGGGCAATTTGAGCAATAGAAAAGGGCAACTCAACACCCATACATTTAGCCCGTGTATCCTCCAAAATAACATCACCATCTTGCAAGGAATTCTGGAAGACATTCCAAAAAATTAAAAAATTATTGACACTTGAACATCAGTTAAAGGAACAAACACAGAGACTGATAGGCACATAATGGTGGTAAAATCTCAACATTAACCAAGCAACACTTCCTCGAACTGATGTCACTGAAGAAATAGCATAAGAAATAGCATAATAGCACTAGCATGTTACAGGGATTGCTGGAGTGTGTCATGACATATATGATATATCAAAGAAAGGATTATTAAAAAGAAGTAAACGAAGTCAAACTTGATCCTAGTGATACAGATTGGCAATGTAACTTCACAACTGTCAAATACCAGGACTTTAACCTAAGACCTAATCACAAAATACAGGACATCATTGATTGGTAGTATTGGGAAGGGGTGAAACTGATTATCATCACCATGGTTTAAAAAGACGGTCGAGCGTACGCCGCGCGCCTCAAAGAAGAACAGCAGAAAATCGCCTTGAGCTTAAAAGCCTCTCTCTCTGCTATGGCCAGAATCGGACGCCTTGACTGTTGCAGGTGATAAGGCTTTTCTTTTCAGAAAAGAAGCTTCATTTTAGAACAGATCCTGGCTCACCGGCTATGTTTTACGGAGTACTCGTATTATTTTAGGGCTGCTTTTGTCTTTTGAGTTAGGATGTTTTGCTTAGCACGTTTTCTTTTGTACTCCCTCCGTCCCTTATAACTTTGCCAACTTTCCTTTTTTGGTTGTCCCAAAAACTTTGTCACTTTCCCTTTTAATCAATCAATTTGTGGCTCCTATTATTTCTCTCTCCTCTGCACAAATTTCTACCACACAGTTTTTACTTTATTATTCTACGTGCCGGTCAAACATGGCAAACCTTTAAGGGACGGAGGGAGTATTGTTTTTTAGAAATTGTCCTAGGACTATCCAAAACTCGTTTCTTTTTTGCAATCACACACAAGGAGCAATCGGTGGTTGATGGAATATATGGCCCAGGGATTCCCGGCCCATAGACTCCTAATGCTCTAAATCAAGGCTCAATAGGTTCAGGAAGCACAACAGGTCCAAATCACAGTGCCCCGAGTACCAAGCAGCAACAATACACACTAGGGGTGCCTTCGGCCCCTTGGCCGAAGGCTCCTGATACTCACAGGAAGGCTATTTTCAGCACACGAAGACACTGGGAGAAAACAGTAAAAACAGCAGCCCTCGGCACCTGGAGCCTTCGGCACCTAGAATGCCCCGGAAGGAAGAGCCCTCGGTCAATCATCTATGGCCGAAGGCTTCTCCTCGACAGAATCTCCCACCCACATGCGCTGGATCGACGTACCAAGTACAAACGTCACATCCAACCGCCGCATTAAATGCGGCCACATGCGAATGCCAGTGACACCCGGTTGGTGTGACCCATCGACCGTTGGATGCGTGACACGTGTCCCCTTCTTGCATTTATTACTACTATAAATAGCGCCCCTTTTCCCCATTTGTAACCCAAGCTAAAACTCGCTCATTGCATTCTCAGCAATATACTCTCTCTTACTTTTGCTCTGACTTCTCTCTAGTTACTCCCCGCAGTAACCCTTCGGATACATACCCCCGGGTAGACTATCCATCATTTGGTGCTCTCGTTGAGAGCTCGAATAATCAAGTAAGGAACCCTCCCTCTCGGAAAAACACAAAATACCTATCGAAAATGGTGAGAACAACTCGCGCCAACTCCAAGAACGTTGAGGATAGGAACCTGGCTCTCGGCGAAGTCGACGTCCCCGAGGCCTCTAAAAGGGCTCCCGGGGGCGGCGTCGTCGCCGGGTTGGATCAGATGGCTGTCGACCTACGCCTTCAGATTCAACAAAATGCCCCCAATGCCCGCCTCGACATCGAAGCCAAAAGAAGGACCGGAGCGAGAACCAAGTTAGCCCTCCGGTCATGCCTTCCCCTCATCCACACCCCCTCGGGAACCCTGTCCTTCGGATTGGGAACATCGAGGGAGTCGTGGCCCAAGACACGGCCTCCCAGGAAGTCCAATGCCGGGACCGCCACAACATGAACAAGGAACAGCCCCGAACCTCCTCCCTCGAGAGACTCGGAGGGGCGCAAGACCGCCGAGGGGTCCAAGACCGCCGAGGGGGGAAGGCGCTCCAAAGGCCTCAGGAAAGTGGCGGATCCGTCTCCCGGGCGGATGAAAGACGTCCCCCTCAGGACAAAGGCAAAGCACCCCTTCATGCCGATGACGCCCGTCATCACATCAACCAGGCACACTCGGTCCGTGTCCGTTCGTAGGGGGCGGAGGCCCTCCCGAAGGACCCCCGGGACGAAATCATTGCGGCCCTCCAGCGCCGGCTTGACGAGATGGAGGCCACCTGTAACACCCCGGCCCCGTAGGCCCCGAGGTAGTTACTTCTTACCTCTAGTACAGTCCTCACAAACCGCCACTAGCCTTTTCCGCGCACTTTGTGCTCACTCGTGCGCGCCCTGAGAAACTTCCCAGGGGGTCACCCATCCCAAGACTACTCCCGTGCAAGCACGCTTAACTTTGGAGTTCTTGGCTAATGAGCTCCCTTAAAAGGAGATGCACCTTGTTGGTATGAGTAGTACTATTAATCCATTTAAATTAAATCTCAAGTATTACACCACCAAAGCGCACGCCACCACTTCTGCCCCTCATACAGACCTGAAGTATGAGGTCATGTTAGCCAAGATGGAGGAGATGCAGAAGAAGATAGCCGAGGGCTCCGGGGAACCCACCATATAACTCCGTACCCGGACGCCATTTACCCCAAGGGTATTGGCAGCCCAGATCCCGGAGAAATACCGAGGACAACTCATCAAGCCCTACGACGAAAAAACTGACCCCCAGGAGCACTACAGCAGGAACCAAAATAGTATGATGATGGTGGGGGCATCGGATGAGTATTTGTGCCGCTGGTTTCTCTCCACCTTAGAGGGGCCGACTTACGAATGGTTCAATCCATTGCGCGAAGGCTACATCGACTCATGGCAAGAACTCGCCCAGCGATTCTTGACACAATTTGCAGGAAGGCATCGAACAAGAAAACACTTCTCCCACTTGCTGACAGTGAGGCACAGGAAAGAGGAGACCCTTCGGGACTTCTTGGAGCGCTGGAGAACGGAGGCTGATAAAGTTGATGACGCAGAAGACAGGACCCTCCTGGCCCTCCTCCAAACAGTGCTCCGCCCCGGTAACTTCTCAAGGAGCCTCATCATCGAACCCCCCCCACGATTACATAAGGGCCCTACAGCGGGGGGACCGATACGCCGAGGCCGAGGAGGTGGAGAAATGCCATCACAACCCCGATCAGCAACGCCGTCGGCTAGATGATAAAGGCAACCGGGGGCCGGGGGCTCCTCATAGTCAGCCAAAGGGTTCGACACCCCCCAGTCATCGCCCCCGGCACGGCCAAGCAAGGCCCCGGGGAGGTTACAAGGGTAACCCGAAGGCTTGGACGCAACCTGTTCTCCTGGAGCATCCTCGGACACCTTTAACGCACCCCGTCAGCGTCATACTCGACTTCGCTGAGGAGAGGGGTCTGGTGGAGCGAGATTCTCGCGCACCTCCGGAGGTATATGCCATCAATCCAAACTACCCCTACTGTCGCTTCCACCGACATCAAGGGCACAAAACCGATGACTGCCATCAGTTGAAGACAGCCATCGAGAGGTTAATACAGGCGGGCCATCTGTCCCAGTTTGTCCAAAGCCCTCAGCAACAAGGTCCTCCCTACCAAGGGCCACCCCGAGGGCGCCCAGGGAAAGCAAACGCTTGGGTTAACCCAAACACCACCCCCCTCGGCAGGAAGAGGGAGATCGGGAATTTGGAGGAGGAAGAAGAAGAATGCCCCCATGGTCTCGAGAAGAAGTGCCACATCCTCATGATCACCGGTGGCAACACAGGGGGAGACTCCACCAGCCAACGGAAGAAGTGGGCTCAATCGCTATACGTGGGGGAAGTCACTCATATGCCCCCGACAAAGCGGCTGAGGGAGGAACCCATCACCTTCACTAATGCCGATCTCCCCCCGGTGTCCTCTCCACACAGGGATGCCCTCGTCATCCGCACGGAGATCAATGATACTATGATCCACAGAACTTACGTTGACACAGGCAGCTCCGTCAATGTAATGTATCTCAGCACCTTCAGAGAGCTGCACCTGGAAAGGGGGTCCCTTCGGCCCATCAAGACCCCTCTTGCCGGCTTCACCGGTGACACCATTGATTCCGAGGGGGTCATAACCCTCCCGGTACTATTCGGCGACGGGCTCCATAGAGCCAAGCTCGAAGTGGAGTTCGTCGTCGTCAACATCGATTGCGCCCACAACATCATCCTCGGCCGGCCAGCCCTCGAGGATCTCGAAGCCATCATCTCCATGAGGCACCTCTGCCTCAAGTTCCCAGCCGAAGGGGGCATCGGCTACTCGAGGGGAAATCAGAAACTTGCTCGCGCTTGCTATCTCCAGGTGACAAAGAAGGTTAGCAAAACCGAGTTCCATGTTGACACCATCATCGGGGCTATTGAAGAGGAGGAGAAGAGGCCGAGGGCTGAACCGGCCGAGGACGTAGAAGACTTTGCGCTCGATCCGGCCAAGCCGGAGAGAGTCGTGAAGATTGGAGCCCAGCTCTCCGAAGACTTGAAGACCAGCATCATCAACGCCCTCCGCGCCTACTCCATTGTTTTTGCATGGGGGCCGGAGGACATGCCAGGGATCAGCCGAAGGGTCATCACCCACCGCCTCTCGGTGGACCCTTCGGTTAAACCAGTACAACAATGGAGGAGACCCCTCTCGGCCGAGAGGAGGGAATTTGTGAGGAAGGAGGTCACCATGCTCCTCTCTATTAAGCACATCAAGGAGGTGAAATACCCCTCATGGCTAGCAAACGTAGTCCTCGCACAAAAGCCTCCCACCTTCCGCATGTGCGTGAACTACATGGACCTCAACAAGGCGTGCCTCATGGACCCCTTCCCTTTACCAAACATTGATCAATTGGAGGATGAGACCGCGGGATGCGAAATCATGTCCTTCCTCGACGCCTTCCGAGGGTATCACCAAATTTTCATGCACGAGGAAGACGCCGAAAAAACAGCCTTCATGACTCCCGAGGGCATCTTCTGCTACCTTGTAATGGCCTTCGGCCTCAAAAACTCAGGCGCCACTTAAACCCGGATGGTGGCCAGGGTATTTCAGGTCGTCCTGGGGCGTATGTTGACGAAATGATCGTCAAAAGCAAACAATCCTCCAGCAATGCTGACGACCTAAGGGAGATCTTCGCCATCATGCAGAAGTTCAACCTTCGGCTAAACCCAAAGAAGTGCACCTTCGGCGTGCAAGGAGGCAAATTCTTAGGCTACATGGTGAGCCGAAGGGGTATCGAGGCCAACCCCGAGAAAATCCAGGCCATCATCAACATGGAGCCCCCACGCAACGTGAAGGAGGTCCAACGGTTGACGGGCCGCATAGCGACCCTCAATCGCTTCCTATCAAAATCGGTGGAGAAGTCTTTACCCTTCTTCCAGATCATGAGAAAGACCGCCGGTTTCCAGTGGACTTCAGAGTGTCAGGAGGCCTTCGAGGAATTGAAACGGTACTTATCTTCACCCCCTGTGCTCTCTAAACCCAAGGTAGGGGAGACCCTATACCTTTACCTTGGTGTTA